ATGCTAGAAGTAAATTGGGAAATAAATTCTAATTGTCGAATTTCCCTCGGCGAATAGTTATCCTGCTTGGCGTTTAATGCTTTCGTGAGGGGTTTATGGTCTGTATACACTGTAAAAATGGTACCCTCTATCATGTGTCGAAAATATTTGATTGCCAAGTAAATCGCTAATAGTTCTCTTCCGAACGTACTGTACCTCGTTTGTGTAGGGTTTAATCTCCTCGAGAAAAATGAAATCGGTTCCCATGTACCGTTTACTAACTGCTGCAGTACAGCTCCTACTGCTATGTTCGATGCGTCCGTCATGATGGCTAGTGGCGCTTCGCTCTTTCGTCGAACTAATATCATTTTCTCATGAAGTGCTCGCTTAGCGTTCTCAAAAGCCTGCATAGCCTCTGTCGATAGATGGAATGTTCGGGTATTTCCTCGCAAAGCGTCCGTTAATGGCTGTAGTATTGCTGCGCAGTTTGGAATAAATCGCCTATAATAGTTTATTAGTCCCAAGAATCGTCGTAACTTTTTTTGTGACTCGGGCAACGGATAATTACGAATAGCAGCAACTTCTGCTGGAACTGGCATGATACCTCGAGAATTTATCATATGACCTAGGAATTGCAATGATTTCTTTCCAAATTCACATTTCTCCACGTTAATAGTGACACCATGTTCTTGAAGTCTCGTGAATAACTGTTGTAGATGTTGTAGGTGTTCTTCGACGGTAGCGCTAGCTACTAATACATCGTCGATATATGCGTATACCCCTGTCAAACCTCTAACAACCTGATCAATAAATCGCTGAAAGGTTTGAGCTGCATTAGTTAGTCCAAATGGCATTCGCAAAAACTCAAATAAACCAAATGGAGTGATTACAGCCGTTTTCGGTATGTCTTCTGGGGCCACTGGAATGTGGTAGTACGCCCGAACAAGATCAATTTTCGAAAAAATCGTAGCACCTTCCATTTCGGTAGTGATGTCGTGAATATGTGGCACTGGGTATCTATCTGCTATCGTTTGCTTGTTAAGGGCTCTATAATCTCCACATGGTCTAATTTCTCCATTCTTTTTGGGAACCATATGTAACGGAGATGCCCAGGGACTATTAGATGGCCTTATGATACCAAGTTTCATTAGTTTTTCGAATTCTCGTTTTGCAATGTTTAACCTTTTTGGGTCCAACCTTCGCGCTCTTACTCTAGTCGGTGGACCTTTCGTGACGATATGGTGCTGTACTGTATGTTTAAGATCTTTGTTGTCGTATGATGACCTCGTTAAATCGGCGAACTTATTTAGAAGTGACTTATATTGCTCGTTCTTATCTTTCGACACTACTAAATTCATAGATACATGATCGGTGGTCACTCCTCTTATGACTACTGAGCGTTCTCCATTCACTAGTTGGTTTCGTCGAGAATCCACTAATAGGTCAAAATTCTTTAAGAAATCGATACCAATTATGGGTACGGAAACATCAGCGATTACAAATTCCCAGCGAAGAGAAATATTACGGCCGAAATTCAAGGTTAGTTTTCGCTTGCCATATGTCTTTATATCGGATCTATTCGCTGCTTTAAGAGTTAGCGCAGTATCGATATTTTGTTTTTCGTTACTCAATGGAGGGACGACGCTTATCTCTGCTCCCGTGTCTACTAAAAACTGCGCGCCCGTTACTCTGTCCTGAACATAGAATAAACGATTGCTCGTGGGAGCTGCGTTGATTTTCGTAGTCGTTACTGAGAATTGTTGGGATCGTTTAAATTTGCATGGAGACCTGCATTTTCGAGCTCTGTACCCAAATGTTTGATGGTACCAGCATATAGCAGGATCTGGTAGTCCCTTAGAAAATGATCGGTTTCTATCTCTTGATCTGCTGCGCGACCAACTTCTTTTCCTGTCGTTGTGATTTAGACTCGTTAATTTGTGGCATAGCGCATTAATTTCCTTTTGCAAGGCATCGATTCTTTCGTCAACTGTGAAGTTGAGCGTTTGTGAAGTCGCATTTCTCATTCTCTCGTAAATCTTATCGGCTATTTTAGCGATGTTGTCTATGTCTACATCGCTATCTCCAACAGCGAGGATCTGCTGTACATTCGGTGGGAGTCGTCGCAACCATAACTGGTAAAATATATTTTTATCCACAATTCTGTCTCCAATTACGTTGCTCATATACGTTTTTAACTGCGAAGGCGTTCTATCTCCGATTTGAACTTCACTGAGCAACTGCTCGACAGCTTGCCGGTCGTTTAACGAGAGAGCTTTTATTACTGCCTGTTTCAATACATCGTACGGATTTACCGCATCCGGCTTAGTTAGGACCTCTCGTACCTTGTCTGCTACTTCATCTGGAAGTAGTGAGCTTGCATAGCCGAACTTATGTCGCTGTAAAAGAATACGATTGGCTGCGAAGTAATTTTCAAGTCTAATAAACCAGAGTTGAGGATCATTAACATTAAAAGAGGGAATAGTAACATTAATAACTCCCACGGATGGTGACTGTGAAAGATCGATTGTTTCGTTATTTAAAGACATTACTAATAATAATAATAATAAATTAAATAGTATGCGAATATAACGTAATTGTCACTGAGAGAAATGAATCGATGAAAAAAATGATAATAACAAAAGGTACAATATATAAAATGGAACAAACTTACTAAATTGCACCAATATATCAATTGTTCGTGAATAATCGTTATTTATTATGAATATTATCGTTAGGTTCAATAATGCTTATGGGATGATGAACGTGCGATTAAAATTGTGATATAATAAATCCACAATTATGATTATAATTCGAATAGAAACAGAGTAAGTTGAATTTTCGAAATGAAATTATCTCGTCGAAAATTGTTTTGTGTTCGCTCGTCGAGGCATCCAATTCTGTAGTGTCGTGTTCGTATGGCGAGGTTCGTTCAGCGAGATATCCAATTCCATTGCGTCGTGCTTGTTCGGCGAGGCCTCCAATTCTGTAGTGCCGCGATTCGTTAACCGTTTACTTCGATAACCGTTATAATTCTAAACTTAACGGTGCGTAAAATCAGAAGACAAAGGATAGCAGCAACTACAGTTTATTGTCGAATGACTCAGGTTCGAAAGCTAACAACACCTGAGCGAATATGAACGAGCGAGTGAACAGGAAAACAAGCGAAGGGAACGAACGAGGAGCAAGCGAGCGAGTAGCAAGCAATTACATAGGCAATTTATAGTCAAATTTAATAAGGGCACAGCAAAGCAAAACAAAGGCTGATAATAATATTTGTGTGCGTACATATATGGGGAGGAGTATGAGTCATCGAATGATATTTAAGCAGTCAACATTTCGGCTAGAGTGTCATGTGCTCTAGTGTTATTGCAGTGCAAAGAATATGCAAATTGTTACTATCCAAATGACAATGTCTGTTAAGTAAGTTATAAAAAAGGGCTTAACCAAAATTGGCTATAATCGAAATTGATTGTAGGATGGTTGCTATACTTTCAACCGCCCAACACAACAGACGAAAATAATTCTATGAACAGATCCATTCTTCATTTAAACGTTTCTGGTGTTTTTTTCCCCATCTAAATGTAAATTGTTACTCCAGGACTGACTGGCCTGGGTCAACACCTGAACTAAGGATAGGGAGTGAAGTAGTCGAATGTGTAGACAACTCCACTTATCATGGAAGTCTGATCAGCCCTTATGGGTTGGTGTCTGACGAAATCTCAGCACGGATTCAAAAAGCTCGTTTGGCTCTTGTCAACTTACGTCACCTATGGCGAAGACGAGATATCCGTCTATCAATTAAAGGACGAGTATACTGCACAGCAGTTCACTCTGTTCTACTTTACGTCTGTGAAACATGGCCATTAAGAGAAGATACTCGTAAGTTACTAGTATTTGTCCTAGAAATATTGCTCGCATCTGCTAGGATCACCGGGTAAGTAGTAATGAGGTTAGATGCAGGGTATTAGGGAATGATGGTAAATCAGTTGATGAGTTTGTGAATCTTCATCAACTTAGATAGTTGGGCCACGTGTTACGTATGCCTGAACACCGATTATCACGACGCGCAATGCTGACTAGTGTTGGGGATGGTTGAAAAAGAGTTAGGGGCGGCCAAACCAAAACGTGGCATCAGTGCTTGAAGTCCCTAACTTCTAGTCTGAGCCATGTTGGCAGATGCATACTACCTGGTTGGGGTCCGCGTGACTATCGTAACCAATGGTTGGAGACTCTATGTGAAATGACTCAGAATCGATCACAATGGCGTAGATGTATACACTTTATTCTTCCCCTAAACGATGTAATTAAAACTGCTTCATAACGTTTTTCCTCCCTACACTATATCCTTATATACAACCTATCTTTTATATACTACCAACACTAAATTAAGTACTGTGAATTCGGTTGGGGTCCGTGTGATCATCGTAACGAATGGTTGGAGACTCTAGGTGACATGGCTCAGAATCGATCACAATGGCGCAAGTATATGCACTCTTTATCTTCCCTTAAACCTTCCTTCCTATACTATATCCTTATATACTACCACCACTAAATTAACTACTATGAATTCGTTATTCATCTTGCTGTGCTAATGAGGTATGGCAACTTGGACCGATGCATAAATGTGCCTGGTCCTACGTTGTAGCTGACTGACTGGTCTTCTTTAGGCTAATGCTACACTTGCCAGAATAACATTTTAATGAATCAGATACATGTAGCATATCTCAACCATTTAAAGTTTCATCAAAACAATTTATCTTTTTATACTCATTACATTGTGTTAAACCTTAAAATTATTTACTTTAGTGATTACACCACACACACAAGCATTTGCTCCAAAAGTTCATTGAAGGTATATCAAAACTACAGCCGTACTGCTAGCCACTATCCATCTTTGCTTACCATGCTTGTGAATTAAGACTATATCGAGGCAATACGCACAGTATGCACATATTTTCCAATTACGGACTGACCAGTTTCAGTCCTAACACATCGATGGGAAGATTCAAACAAACAATACTAAACTTATATATAAATGTTTTCTTTTTAGTTATATTAAAATATATAAAAGAGGGCACTTTTAACTGAGAAGGATACAATTTAAAAACTTTTTTAAGTTATTCATACAGAGAGAGTTAGGTAATAAAGATTTTCCAATAAGAAAATGCTATAAAACATATTTAGAATGTAATCTAAATCAGTTTTATGGCATGTATCGAAAAAAAAATATAGGGAAACGAATAAGGAAAGTTGGATTTGACTGTTTGGCAACTTTGCAGCATAGTTATTATTCCTCTCTCATCTTTGTGCGTGAATCATATCAGAAAAGCATAGAGCTTAAGGATAATGATCACTGATCAACCAATTAATTGGTCAATTATCATCGGTTATTTCTGATGAATTTATATTGTTTCTTTGATTTACTGTTTGATGCTCTTTGTTACTGTTCGTATGCTGTTTACCACTACGACCACTTTTCTGTTGTGGTTTTGTTTGAGATGTACGTTTTGCGGCTGCTGTTGCTGCACGTTGTGCTTCACGGGCTAGATGATGGTAAGATTAAGGAGACATAAACAAAATGATTTTAAATACTCGTATGGTGTGAAATAAAACGAGTTTTACAATGAATAATATACTGCATACATAAACGTTTAGTATTAATATATACATATAAGGATCTATCGAGTTTTTATTTGTGTGAGGGTTACCAAATTTCCTAATTGCTGGAAAAAGTGGATCGTCATCTACAAACTAGGAAACCTAGGTTGAAAGTCAGTTCATTGTCACCGACTGAAGCGGTCATGACAGGCGTTATGCGTAACCAACCACGTTTTACCCTGGTATACAATATCGACTAGTGTATGAACAAGTCGGAAAAAAGTTAGTGGTGGCCAAACCAAAACCGTGTCATTAATCCATGAGTTTATTAACTTTTGAACTAAGCTGTATTGGTAGGTAAAAACCATTTGGTTGATATCTGCCTAATCACTGGTCGGAGACCTTCATGACATATCTTAAGATTGGTTACAGAGGTCTAAACCTTCGCTCCTGATCACGTTTTCCTTTCGTTTCATTTTTTTCAAACCACATTCTCAACGTCTATTTACTCTTATTATCATAGTTACTTGTTAGCGCGGCATAGATTAGATTAAAGCATGTTCCATGCACGATTGTATCGGTGCACGCTGATTAGCTAATTCATATCCAATCAGCGCTAGTCGGTACTAGGAGAAGACTTTAGAATCTTCTCATGTAAAAACTATAAATATACTAACGTATTTCTTATTGCGCTGCTTACTTCAATCTGCCCTTGTTATTCAGAATATAACTTCTTTCCTATTCAACCGTGTTCTGATTTGGGGACTTGTCGAGTTAATTGGTATCCGACAATACTAAGCAATGTGAATAGTTGGGTCATAATAAGAAATTATAACGCAACTATGTATACTTCAATTTGTTTACCATTCATATGGTAACTTGATTTAATGTATATTTTTACCAGGGTCGTTGATTATGAAATAAGATTTGGATTTGTTTAAATTTTTCAAGATTATTACCTCGAATCCCGCGAGGTGGGATCGTGGATGCACACTGCTGAGGAGTCCAACAATAAGACGAAACAGCCGTCCAGGTTTTCCACGGTTGTCTAGCTTCAATTGACTCATGATCTAAACTATATAAAATTACCAAAATCTCCACAAAACCCTCTTGTGATACATTGTATTAGTCTTTCTTTAGAGCATTCTATTTAGTTTTCGAATGGTTGTTTCGAAAATAATAGTTACTTTTTGATGGAGTTTTGTTCTCTGACGTTGATGGTTTGGTCATGGAGCTTTCATCGTCTTTCTGAACGACATCACGACCAAACTATCTAGCTCAGAGAACAAAACCCCATCAAAATCATCCTTCTGAGCTACAAATCTTCTTCACCATTTCAATAATAGTTGCTTTTTAGTAACACTGTAACATGACTATTAAACTTTCTTAATGCACAAAATACCGAAATAATTGAATTCCACTTTACCTCAAGTCGATTACTTTAGAGAAACTAAATACAAATACACTTCAATCCATTTACTAAAAAACAATTTCATGAACTTGACTTTGAAACACACTGTCAGTGTAAGTTATTAAGATTATCCAGTTGCTCAAACCAAAGTAGATTGAGCAAGGTATCCGAACCTGTGATTTATTGGGTGCAAGAAGATTAACTTATATACTGCTCTACTACTACTACTCTTCCAGAACTAACTACAGTGGCGAGTCAGCATGATCTTACTATTAACAGTAATTAACTCGATTATTGAAAACTATTTACGAGCTGTGATACAATTCGGCAAACAATTAATCTTTTTTAACATAAAAAAACTGTTTAATGACTTAGGTGAGTACTGAAACTATGAGGTTTCATTTTCTCTACTCTCTCTATATATACCTTACATTTTGAAAACGATATTCATACTGTTTGAATGCCACCAAATGCCCTGGTACGGCCGAGGGTGTGGAGAGTCAGCTCCCCCTCTCGAAATGCTCTCACATGGCCACGCGTATATAGACTCTGCAAGGGAAATCCTACTAACTGCCTTCTCGTGGCATTACTGTTGTTTACGAAATGGAGAGGACGAAAAGCGAATGTCTGGCGCTTTAACTGAGTTGGTGGACACAGAAAGTCCATCTGGGGGAGTTGGAAAACCCTGATTCCAAACCAATGGTGCACATGGGCTGGCTCTAGGATCCTGAGGGAATCTCGATGATCACCGGCTACCACGGGATCGCATCTCCTTACGATGCTTCACTGCCTTGTGGATCAGATCGTTAGGTCAAAGGTTCCGGGTGTGGCCCCCTACGAAAACCATCTGCTTCAGTTTGAGCATCTGGGCAGTATCAAAGCTCTCACACACATCAAATGAGATTTGTGTGGTGCATATATATTTGGTGCCCATTTGTACCAATATTTATGTGTTTAAATAAATAAAAATACCGTTTGAATAACATGCAGAAGAACAAATTACAATTTACCTTGTTTTTCTTGTTCAAGCTTTTGAGCTGCTAATTCACGTTCTTTTCTAACCAATTGAAGACGTGCTATGTTAGCTGCTAATTCAGTTTCTGATAATAATTTTATTGGATCAGTTGTAGCTTTGATAGATGCGGCGATTTCTTTTCGTGAAGGACTGAAATACAGAAAACATTACTACTTTTCCTTAGAAAAAAACTTAGTTTCATAGCTAATTTGCATGCAGTTTACATATAATATTGATGAAATGCAACATATATGTAATCGGTGGATTATTTTCATTACCGTCTATTAAAATAATGCATTTACTTAGTACAGCTCTAAGGCATATTGTTTGTGAGAGCTAGTGATACAAATCGGCGATCCAAGCTACACTAAATAGAGCAGTCAGTCAGCTACAACGTAGGACCAAGCACATTTATGCATCGGTCCAAGTTGCCATACCTAGTTAGTATAACAAGATCAACACCGAATTCATAGAAATAGTTAATTTAGTGGTGGTAGTATATAAAAGATAGGTTGTACATAAGGATATAGTATAGGAAGGAAGAACGTTATGAAGCAATTTTAATCTCAAGGTTTAAGGGAAAATACAGAGTGTATACATCTACGCCATTGTGATCGATTCTGAGCCATGTCACCTACAATCTCCAACCATTGGTTACAATAGTCACGCCAACCCCAACCAGGTAGTATGCATCTGCCAACATGGCTCAGATTAGAAGTTAGTGACTTCAAACACTGATGCCACGTTTTGGTTTGGCCGCCCCTAACTCTTTTCCAACCATCCCCTACACTAGTCAACCATCTCAATCGATGAAGATTCATGACCTCATCAGCTGATTTACCATCATTCCCTAATACCCTATGTTTAACTTCACTATTAATTACCCGGTGATCCCAGCAGATGCGATAGAGCAACATTTGGTCAGTCAGTCATAAGCAACATAGAACCTGGAATATATGTAGACTAGTTCAATTTGTCATAATACATCATTACAGAGACATGAAATTATCTAGACGAATACTAAATTAAAAGTAGTATTATCAGTTTTAGTGAACAGACCAGCTACACAGATTATAGGAAATAAATCGGCATAATAAAAGTATGACAATTTTACAACTCAAAATCTAAAGGAAAATAAAGAGTGGATGCTTCTGTGCCGTTGTGACTGATTCTCAACCACTTCAGCTAGCGTCTCTAACGATTGGTTGCCATGGTCGAGCATATCCTAAGCAGGTTATCTGAACCTACCAACACAACTCAGACCAACAGTCAATGATTTCATAGAAATATGTTGTGTCTGGGTTTGGGTGCTTCTCTTAACTTTTTTTCAACTTGCCTCTACACCAGCCAAAATCGGGCGTCCATGTATGAGGTGGTTCGGCATACGTAATACATGTTTGAGAAGATTTGGATTGCTTATTATCCTGGAATATGATAATAAATTTAAAGTAGGAATATAGCTGGAGTAACTGATAAAAGTAAGCCAATAAGTCAGAGTAACTGTTTATGCATTGATTTGTATGGCGGGAGTGGTATACTTCCAACAACATTGTCTATAGAAGTCGGGTAACATATACAGGGTTCAATGTTTTCATTACTTACAGTTAGTTATCACCTAGCAAATACTATTTCTTGTTAGATATTAAATCCATACCATATGTTGTTACATTACAGCTAATATCTTTTAATTCTTTAGAGACGAAACTCAAAAAATAGCAGCCGAAGTCACTACTACACTATTATCAAAATATTAATTGATTACAATAACTTACGCAACTGTTTTAGATTTTATACGATTAGGATTGCATACTTCAATTAAATGACTAACACCCTTATGACGTTCACTTGTGTCTTCCTCATCGTCTTCATCTTCCTCCTCCTCATCATCATCATCCGTTTCAGTATCATTAATATTCTTGTCATGAATTGTCTTATTCAAAGACGACTCAGCTTCTTTAGATATCTAAAAAAGTGAATGGATCAGTATGATAATAAGCCATCAATACAAATTTTATGATAATATATTTAAGCAGAAGTTGGAAACAATCAGTTCGGAAAAACGGACATTTGCAGTTCGGACAACAGATTAGCTGTATGTCGATCGGAAGTACTGAATAGTTTTTTTTCTAGTATTCGACTTCTCTATAGGGTGAATGACGAGACTATAATTCATGAAAAAAATCAATCAGATTCACGATAAAAGATCTTGGATTTGGCGTGAACTTCATTAACTCATTTAACTAAATACCATTTTGCCATTATAGCTGATGCCAGTTCGCGATGAAAACATTAAATTTAATTCCAAACCCTAACGTTCAACTGTAAATCCTAATCCTAAATCCTCACACTAATATATAACCCTCATTTAACCCTGACGAATAGGTGAAAATTCTGAGGTCATTTTAGCGTCGCTCAAAGGTCGTCCATTAATAGTCACTGTGGGCATTTCTGACCTTAATAGAAAATGAATCTTGTGCTTTGATGCTTAGCGGCGAGCACTGAGTCTTCCGATCGCTGAGTTAAGACTCAATGTTTTACATACCAAACTTCATTTACCTAATAATACTGAGCAAGAATTATTCACTACCATTAATGGTTAGTTGCCCTACTCCAAACGATATTGAACTCTACTAGTTATGGACTTCCTCCATAACTTCAAGGAATGTCTCTCGACTTTAGTCACTGTTATGTTCTGTCATCGATAGAGTTTGGTACTGATATATATACGCTTTTTATACGAAAACGCAACCGTCTATTTAAGTGAGAAAACCAAAAATGAGTAGGGAGCTTTCATTTGTTAAAACGATTCGAGACCACGTGTACAATTAATTTATAAATGTTTTTTATCTTCAGAAACAACGGCGCATTTACAGTCAATATCGTTCCCCTTTTTTTAGGAAATGAAGTCGGAGCTTGGTCAATAGCGTGTGCCTATCAACATCTCACTTAACATTTGACCTACATCTAAATGGCCGTGTCGGTTACTGATGGGCGTATGATTATTATTAGTGTAGTGGTCTGTGAAGATTTTCGGATTTACAGGTTATACTACAGACCGACCCGGAGTATAAGAGACAACACACGATTAATTGTATTTGTACTGTGCTCTTACCATTTACTTGGTTAATACAGAACAAATATTGTAATCAATAATGAGGTGCAAAAACCTCGCTCGCCATATATTGCATGAAGATCCAGTCTCAAAAACGACATATAACCCGAATTTATGGTCGACTCTACTTTAAAAATGAAATTTTAGCGACAAAACTTGATGACCAACTTCCAAAATTTCGTATAACTTACTCCAAGTTGACGGTCAATTTCTTCCGGGGCAGTAAACTTTCGGGTTCTACCTTTGTGCATACGTTTACCTATTTATTTATAGAAAACAAGACAATCGCATAACTGAATTTAATTATGAGCTCAAAAGCTTACCCATATTATTGATTTTAGATTCAGTCACTAGCTAATTAGTCTATAAAACCTGGAAAATAGTGTAAATTTCGAAAATAACACAATGTAAGGCAGTTTTAACCTTTTCTCTAGTTTAGTTGGCCTGGACCTAAACAGGCCAATAATCTTTGGAGGGCAAAAGCAACAAACGTCGTGTGACAAACTGTATTCATTTAGTTTGGTGAGTGCAAACACTTCCTTAATTGAAGTGATTTGTATAGTTGTGTACTCCAAAATATAATTAGGTGTTACTTTGATCGTTAGTTAAAAATAATTCTAAATAATGTCTGTATTCACACATATTTGATTTGCAAATGAATGGACTAGATCAGAGAAGGTAAGGTAGCCGAGTATGAGAAACATATCCAGATTGTCACAACTACCATACACAGGATGACGAAAGTAATAGTAATTATCAAAGAACGGCTATAAAGTTATCGTAATGATGGTAGCAACAGCACCAAGTGGTAAAAAATATGGAGAGGGTGTAAGAATATGGAGAATTCATCAAATAAGCAATTCTATTAAATCTTCATTTATATGTCAAACATTTTATCGAATAATATTGGAATGATAAGACTAGTTATAATGACCACAAATTAGAACCTTAAAGGTCAAATGACTTGAATAGCTGGAAAATGCCTAGTGGTGACATAGGGAAATATACTGAACTTTGAGGAGTGGCTCGCTAATAAAACCACCTGCTTCAGTTTTGACACCTGTGGAGTATCCCAAGCCTCACACGAATCATTTGATCCGTATGGCGCATATATTTGGTGCCTCCGTGTACTAATATTTGTGTTTAAATGATTATTATTATTAGCTTTATTCAATATTGATATGCAGCGTTAAACATATTTCGATTATTATAACTTTGATTGGTAACAAGAAAAAAAATTGTGTTAAATTACCTCTCATTGTTTTTTAAAATAGAATGGGATGTTAGATGTAGACAGGAAACTCTTGTGATTGAAAGGGAAATACTATCAAACACGGATTCAATAAACCGAAGACGACCTCGAGATTTTAATTGCTCCGGCCAAAAAAATTATCACGCTACTGTTCGGTACTCAATATCGTATTGTCTTCAGTCTTCAGTAATAAGGATGGTAGGTTGATGAACCTGTGTTGATCCTGACAGATTTCCTTCCAGTGAAGGTCCAGCTTCTTCTTGAAAATGTTCACTGATGGTGCTGATACCACTTGTTCTGGTAATGCGTTCCAGTCATTGACCACTCGATGAGAAAAACGGGACCCCACCTTTAGTTTATTAGATCGCGGTTACAGAACCTTCTTGCTATGACCCCGGAGATTATTAGTGCTGGAGGGAGCAAAAAGATAAGACATATTAACACCCAGATCATAATTAAAGATACGAAATGCCAGTATAAGGTCACCTCGCGTCCTACGATAAGATAAGGGGAAAAGGTTTAGACGTTTTAAACGCTCATCGTAAGGGAGTTTGGAAAAACCCTTTACTAATTTTGTCCCTACACGCTGGACACGCTCAAGCGATTTAGTATCCTTTATCAGACAAGGGCTAGCTGCTTGGATACAGTATTCTAAGTGTGGCTTACATAGGTGGGATATAAAATTCGAAACATCTCCTCTTCAAACCATTTAAATGCTCTGCGAAGCGACCATAGCGCGCGATAGCCTTTGGAAGCAACCGCATTGCAGTGCGTAGTAGTTTTTAAGTCTTGACTTATAATTACTCCTAAGTCTTTGTGCTCATGAACGCGTGGCAGAGATGTACCATTAATGGTATAATGGTAACTAATATCGTGCCCGATGTGCATGGACACGCTCTTCCTGGAATTAACTTCCAGGCCCCAATCATGAGCCCACTTAACTAATTCGTCTAAATCTGCTTGTAGATAACAACGATCAGTCTCATTTCTTATGGTTCTCCAGATTTTAACATCATCCGCAAACAATAACGTCGACGACTTAAGTAATAAAGGTAGTTCATTAATACACAGAAGGAAAAGTAAAGGGCCCAAGATGGTGCCTTGGGGTACACCACTTTTGACCGGTTTCCATTCGGATAGCGTTCCATAGACCCTTACTCCCTGTCTGCAGTCACATAAGAAGCTTCCTATCCATTACTGTATAGCACATGTTATTCCAAAGCTCGAGAGCTTTCGCACAAGACCTAAGTGTGAAACCTTATCAAACGCTTTGTTAAAATCTATGAATATCACGTCGACAGACTGGCCGTTGTCTAGGGCAGCTGTGCAATCCTCTCTCGCAATGAGTAAGTTAGTCAAGCATGAATGATTGTTACGAAACCCATGTTGCTCGGGAGTTAGCAGATTCTACGAATCTATGTGGCTCAGTAGCTTAACCCGAATTGATTTTTCAAGTAACTTAACTACTATACTGGTCAGGCTAACAGGCCGGTAGTTAGATACAATCCGTATCTGACCATCCTTAAATATAGGGATAAATAGTCTCTGGGTAGTTGGGCCTGTGAAAGGGACATGTTGAAGAGCATCGTGAGCGGTCTTGAGATAATGTCCTGATATAAAGGTAGGTATGCAGTCTCTAATTGTTATAAACGTAGAGGATACTGGTTATAACTCTAGGGGTTTCTGTTATAACAGTCCTTTCACTTCTTACACGTATATGGACGTTAATTTATCTTAGACGAATATCTACACTAGATTCCCACCCAGTGTCTATTCTACAGGACTTCAACAGAACTCAGATCAAGAACACAAGATTAGCCTGACTATAACGTCAATATATTTCCACTCCAAAATCCGACACAAGAACAGTCAATCAATAAGTGTCCATCAACAAGGAACAGTTAATAAGTTAATAAGTGTCAGTACATAATAAGGATAGGGGAATATATATATATAACACATAACACCTGTCATCCTGTCTAATGTCTGACTCATCGAGACAACCAATCATTGACATTCTCGCCCACACATCACCTCCCTCGCGAAGTTCGATCGTATGATTTCACTTTGAGGTCTATTTGAAAGAATTTCGTTTGTTTCCATTTCCTGAATGACCTTCGTCTAACTTCCGATTCTAGATCATTTTTTCTCATTTCAACTTGTGGTGGTGGTGGTGGAATATCAAACGTATCACATAATACTTCCATTGGTAATGGTTTTAGTTTAGATGACTCATAAACACATTTTCTATCTCGCAGTTGATTTACGTGTCTAATAATTAGTGTATTTTCGACCATCACTTCATATAATACTGTACCACGTCGTTTTTTTATAAACCCAAATATCCATTTTGGCTTGCCAGGCCGGAAATCCCGTGCATAGACTGAGTCACCTACTTTGAATTCTCGAATTTTCAGGCAATTCCCTTACTTATTTTTTTGTAGTCCACTTATTCTGTCTTTCGGGTTCAAAACATCAAAAAATGTTCTAATCGGTCGGCCAAACATTATTTCGGCTGGAGATTTCCCATCTTGACAGTTTGAACTTGGCGTAACTCTATAGGAAATGAGAAATTGTTGCAGAGCCTCTTCTACGTTGCCTTCTCCTCCCATCTTTAAGAGAGCTCGTTTAAGAATATCAACAAATTTCTCTACCTGCCCGTTCGACTTAGGGTGATACGGTGGAGTTCTAACGTGTTCGATTCCATTCTGTTTACAGAACTCCGCAAACTCTAACGACGTGAACTGCGTCCCGTTATCTGAAACCAAAACATTAGGTGTACCAAACCTACCAAATAGTTGTCTCAGATGTAGCAGTGTTTCAGACGTAGATGGTCTTCGTACCACATAAATTTCAGGCCACTTCGAGTACGAATCTACCACCACCAAAAAATATTGTCCACTTATCGGTCCAGCATAATCAACATGTAATCGGACCCAAGGCTTTTTCGTTTCTGGCCATGGCTGGGATTCTACCTTCGGTGGATCTTCTGCACTTTCGGCACATCGCCGACATCTCAATACGTATTCTTCCACAGCCTTATCCATGAATGGCCAATAGACATAACTACGCATAACAGCCTTCATTCTGTTCATTCCCGGATGACCAATGTGAAACTGTTTAAGCACAAAAAGCTGAAGAGATTTAGGGATAACAACACGTTCACCATACATCAAACAATTATCATAAATCGATATAGACTCACGTCTCAAGAAAAATTGGTGAAACTCTCGATCAGCTTTGTCCTGTTTCCAACCCTTTAAAACAGCTTCTTTTATTCTTTTAAGTAGAGGATCACTAGTCGTGGCTTCTTTAACTGCTTCTGCCGTTACTGGTAGGATTCTGATAGCATCACAGAACACTCTTTTTATTTCCGGTTCAAGTGATATGGAAGCAACCACGCAATCTTCCTCTAACTTGCGGTTATGTGGTATTTCTCTTGAAGTCTGCATCTTATTTCCTTTACGGAACTTATGCTGACGGTCAGAAACTTTTGGTTTACTTTTGCAACATACTTGAGCATGACCATATTTACCACATTGAAAGCATACTCGTTTTTTAAAGTAACAAACTTTGGCAGAATGAGACTTACCACATCGCCAACATGACATTTTGTGTTTCACTTGATTTGGGATTTTCTGGGAGTTGGAATCTTTATTTTCATTTAAAGATTTACGTAAAGCATTAATTCCCACGTGTTCACTGTTCCTTTCTACGAGAATCGTGTCATGCTTCAAATTAACCATTCTCTGACACTCTTCGGATACTGGTTGTAGACTGATATTAGGATCTTGTTCGATTCTCGCTAGAATCCGTGCTCTAATATCTGCATCTACTGGAGATTGTAATCCACATACAAAAATAAGACACTTGAACTGATCTGAGGACATTTCCTGTAATCGGAACCGCTCACATTCCCGGTTCACGATACTTGCATACGTTACGTAATCGTCCTGTTCTTTCTTTACAAGTTGAAGACACTGGTATCTAGTGTGAAAAATTGATGACCGTTCACCAAATATACGAGTCAGGCACTCAACTGTTTCTTTGAACTTTATGTCGGATGGCTTCTTTGGGAGGATAAAATAACAGAATTTTTCATGTTCGGACACTCCGAGCTTTCTTAATAATAATCTCAATTTTGAGCTTTCGTCCCACTCTTTACATTCATAAATAAATAAATCCTCATGGCGTTTAAACCACGCCTCAAAAGTAACTCTACTTTCTGGATCAAATCTAAATTCAGTTATTGAATTTGCAATAGAATCCGGAGTCATAGTGGAATTAGACACATCAGTTCTTGAGGATATCGACATATTTTTGACTAATAATTCGATAAGAGTATTTTGCTGTTGCAATAAGGTTTTCAGATCATCCAATTTCTTGATACAAAATTCACTTTAACTGAATACGTAAGCGTAGATCCGTTTTAATCACCGTCGCCAATTAATATAAAGGTAATATTGCCGTCGCTAATTGTTATAAACGTAGAGGATACTGGTTATAACTCTAGGGGTTTCTGTTATAACAGTCCTTTCACTTCTTACACGTATATGGACGTTAATTTATCTTAGACGAATATCTACACTAGATTCCCACCCAGTGTCTATTCTACAGGACTTCAACAGAACTCAGATCAAGAACACAAGATTAGCCTGACTATAACGTCAATATATTTCCACTCCAAAATCCGACACAAGAACAGTCAATCAATAAGTGTCCATCAACAAGGAACAGTTAATAAGTTAATAAGTGTCAGTACATAATAAGGATAGGGGAATATATATATATAACACATAACACCTGTCATCCTGTCTAATGTCTGACTCATCGAGACAACCAATCATTGACATTCTCGCCCACACATCACCTCCCTCGCGAAGTTCGATCGTATGATTTCACTTTGAGGTCTATTTGAAAGA